GCTAAAGTAAACTGCATACAGATCCAAAAATTGCAGCAGTTTAGTTAGTATTTGGAAATCAACTTGTACTGCATTTATCTTGCCGGACATTTTCCTGCACCCATTCCTTTAGACTCTCCAGGAAATACATTTGAAGAAATCATCCAGCCCATCCCATTTATTCTCATGCAGATCTACTCATTGCCTAACCATTTTCACAAACTCTTCCTCCCTCATCTCCAAGAAACAAAAAGGTGCTTACAGACTTCTCACCAACCAGTTACCTCTGCCTGGTCATTCTCCCCTTGCTCACAAAACAAACCTTCTGCCCAAGGCTTCTGCAAAACCTGGTCATCTACCTATATAATCTTTCCCCATTTACTCTCCTCTCTCTATGAGATTAACCTGTTGGCCCCTTAAAGCTGTTTCATTAAACTCCTAATCATTGACCTGAAACTTCCCTTCATGGCCCCCATTGCATGCTGACCTTGTAAATTATTTTCTCCCTACAGATATTTTCCTTGCATTTAACAACACGTCAAAAATCTCATACTCTGCCTTTGTAATTTACTAACCCATCACTTATCTCCCTTGCCTTTATCAAATTTCTTCTTTCAAAAATTCACATCCATTTTTTCCTACAACTGTTTATGCAAAACCCCATCAATTTTATACTACTGCCACAGGACTCGTTCAAGAATGTAATAACTGCCCCCAAATCTTGAAGAATTTGGGGAATAGGATCTTCAGGCCTTCCTTGTAAAAGGTGATTTTGTTTCCCTTCTCGGAATTCCACAAATTTTGAGTTGCATAAAAAGTAGATTGTATGCTTGTGATCAACATACCACAAGCCACCATTCTGTACTCAGAATATCCCAGCACAGTAATCATAAGCTCCAAATGGCTTGGCCATTGCATAAAATCAGCTGTCAGTTTTCTAAGTATCATACAAAAAAAGTTGTTGGTACATTGTTTTTCACACGGATTCTTCTTCAGTACCTCAATATATAAATACAATTTTTGTGGCTGTTTTATTGTTGCCAACCTGACTCGTAAGCATATCTTAAAATCTTTGGCAACAAACCTTTTCAGAATTCCCAAAAATGCACATTTGCTTAAATGGTGCAGGTCCAAGTTAGGCTTGAAGATCTCACAGCAATGTAGTAAAAATAATTCTTCCTCTCTGGTCACTGGTCAAAATTTAAGACTGTTACATTTAAAAAGCCCCATATATAATACTGAATAATCCTTCTATACAGTTACGCATCATGTAGTTTACAGCAACCCTTTACTTTGGTGCTAATGGTAGGAATAAAAACTAAGATGCTGTAAAGTTATCAGGCATACTTAAAACTCATAGCAATGATTTCCAAATAATCACGCCTTGCATTAAAAATCTCAATGAAATGTGTTTTTTTTTGTGGGGTGGGAGAAGATGGAGATGTAAAATGATGCAAGTGATAGAATTTACTCCGAAGCTTGAATTCTTTTTAATTTAAGTCACGCAAGCAAAGTACAAGTCATCACCAGTTTCACCACACTGTTTTGATACTGTAGAACATTCAAAGAGACAGACGTGCTTCCATTACAGGTAGGTGAAACATCTTTTATAATAACCACAAATATTCAAATATAAGTGCACAGTTGTACATGTGAACTCAAACTTATATTCTGAAATTAAAACTTTCAGATCTGAAAAATCACGAATAACTAAAGGGTGGAGAAAGAATTCACCTACTGAACACAGATCGAACAGATCAGTTTTAAAGTCTTACCCCATAAACTTATTTGTACATGGTTTTAATAGTCAAGGTCAAGAGAACTCATTAAAACAGTAGTTTCTGGTTGAATGCTGTAGAGTGTGATTTTCAAAATGTAATATAACACAAAGTCTACACACATCCCACAACTGACAAAAGAGATTCAAAAGTCTTTGTTCTTTCATAGGTGAAATATTGAAGTTGGCTTGTTTCTTTTCATAGGAGACCATTACGCAAAATAGCCACAATCTGCAGTGGTTCATTGGAAAAGGTGAGATTGACTCAAAAAAAATTGATAGTTGTAGCTTATTGTATTTAAGTTCAGTTTCAATATTTTCCTGTTTGCTGGAAAATATAGCTCAGTGCTACTAAGATTCAAAAACACAAACCTGTGGAGTGAAAATCAATTGTCATGAATAAGGGAACATTGGCACTTTAATGAAATGCTGAGCCCTTTTAAGAATGCAGTGTGGTAGTCTTTTGTAACGCTCATATTTTAATGACTGAAAACCTGTTTTTGATTGGTAAATTCACTTCTTCAATAAGTTCAAATGCCTAAGTCCCAAAATCTCTGGCTCTCCCGTGGCAACTCTGAATGAGAATGCCAATCTGGTACCAGATTTATGATGTGATCTAGTGCCTTTTAGAACTCAGCTAAGATTGCCCAAACTGATTTTACATAGGATGCCTTACATCTAGCAAAGCAGACATTTATTCCAGTAGTTTGAGCTTGGTTTAAACCCTAATCAGAGGTGAGATCCCTTTTCTTTCCAGATGAAATGAGATCACCTCATTAATCACACCCAGCTCCTTGAATAATTTTCATCTATAATCTGACCAAATTTGTTTACAACTGAATGTCTTGGTGTTGAAGTGCAATTTTAAATGCCTGGTCACGCAAAAAAATTTGGCATGATTTTTAAACTATCGAGTCACCTTTACTGTCTTCAAATACAAGTACAATCTAAAAGCTGCAAACTTCGAAGTTTGGTGCAATACTACTAAAATTAAAAATAACATATGCAATCCAAGCATTAATTCTATTCATACCATTGTAATTTAAATGGAAAATAATCCCTTAAAAAGTACAAACAGAAATGATCTGGTTATCAATTAGTGGCACTCTGGCAGTGAATAGTCTGAGACCTGTTTTTAAGAATTAAAAACAATTGCGATGTTAATCAGCACACTTCATTTCTAAGTCAGAAGTTATTCCATTCAGATCATTTTACAGATTCACAGCAGCAGGGCAAAAAGAAGCTATGAAACTTCTCCTTTGGTCTAACAAAAAGAGAGTTTGAAAGATACATTATACAAAAGGTTCTGGTCATCAGTTGGTGATTTTGATTGGAGAGACATTTACAAGTGTGACAACTGATATTGCAGCCTCTTTTTTTTAGGGGGATAGGGATGCGGTGGGAGTTGGGGAGAGAAGAATAAATTCTAATAAAGGCTCCTCATCCTCAATCTCCATCAGTCTGTTTAGGACTATAAAAGATGGAAAAGATTGTGTGAAATTATTCAGGCAGCAGGAAAATACTTCCCATGTCCCAGTAAACATCTAACTCTCATCACTATAACTGAAAACCGATTAACAAGTCCTACATTACAACAGTGACTGCACTTCAAAAATACTTCACTGGCTATAAAGCACTCTGGTACATCTAATGATTGTAAAAGATGCCACACAAATGCAAATCATATTTTTTTTTAAAATTCTAATTTTGAGACTTTTCCATGTGCAAATGCCTACACAGTGGTAATCACCTAATAAAAATAACTCATTGGCCATGAAGCTATTTGAAAGTTACAAGAATATCAAAACTGATCATATGAATAAAAATCTATCTTATTTTTGGATTTGGGAAGATGAAACTGCCCAGAAATCATACTCCCAATTATGAAGCAGTTTTGTTTTTAGCCCCAGGTGATGACTGAATCCGCTTGGATTATCACTTGTATGGTTAAGCAAATTATAGATACTAAACACACACATAATTAATGCACACTGGGGTAGAATAGCAGTAGGCACCTGACAAATAGTGTTCAAGTCAGACTTTTAAAAAAAGACCCTCACTACTCTTCCTGACAATACTGTACAACTTAACTGCAAATGAGCAAGCTCAGTATTTTACACACAAGATACCTTTTCAGCTTCTATACTGTAGCTTGTGAAGATTGACTGCAGATCAGAAGTAGGCAATTATACTTTTAGTGGAAAACTCAAAAGCCAATATAGGAAAGCTAAGAAAACCAACTAACTTATGGCACACTATTCATGAGCACCTGATATACTGAACATACAATTGAGGCTTGTATTTTCAACCGAAGATGCCAAATACACCATGGAAAAATGTGCTTCACAAATGTCAACTAACCTTAAAAGATCTTTCCGCTAATGAATGCGATTCATTTCATTCGTTTAAAATTGATAATGTTGCACGTCTATCAATTTATTTTAACCTTGATTTTCTTGCATTATGAATTTTAAATAACAGTATACAGTATACAATAATGGCATAGATACAAGTCATCTTTGGTTAGACTTAAATTGTCATTTGTTAGACCTCAGTAAATTTAGGGGATCATTCTTTTCTTCCAAACTAGAGTTTATAAATGAAAGATGATGTGTTAACTCAGAGGCTCTCTCCAAATGTTACTTGAACTGCTACGAGTTTCCAGCATTTTCTGTTCTTATTTCATAATTTAGTAACACTGGTTAAGATTACTATCCTACTTTTTAATTCAAGAGCTGGGGAGGTTTTTTTTCTTGGAAATTAATGTTTATTCACCAATGTTTGGCATGTAATAATTTGTACCTTCAGCACTCAAAAAATGGATGATACATTTGTGGCAAATCTATTATAGATTGAGCATCTTGGAAGGAATGGAAAATCTGTTGTACATTTTCTTAGTCCTATTTTGAGTAATATTAAAGGTGACAAGCTAGTCATGATAACTTGAATTGCGACTGATTTTTGCAAAGATGGGGCCATTCTTTTCTTGAGAATGTAAGTAAATTCATTTTTCTAGTTTACTGACATTCAGCTTTACATTTGAAATCAAAAAGGATTTGCTCACTTGAAAATGCCAAAAGAAATCTTTTACATTTAATACTCTATAAATCACTTTACTAAAACTAAAAGTATTTGCACCATACTCAAATACATAGTAATATCTAATATGAAGCACAATGAAAGGATTATCTGCAATGAAACATCATTGACCTGAAATATAACTCTATTTCTCTCCACAGATGCTGCCTGACCTCAGAATTCCCAGCATTTTTCTTTGTATTTCAGAAGGGACAGTGCAGTCATAATTTTTTTTTCAGAATTTCAGACTAATTGGATAAAGACTATCCTTACTATTTGGTTACAGACCAAGTTACCTTTAAAACTTTACAATGACAATGCACAAATTACATGCAAACAACACAAGCAGATGAAAATCTACTCAATTTCCTTTAAATCCCAGCAATGAGTCAAAACAAGAGATTTACCAAAATACAGAAAACAAAAACCCCACATTCATGTACAAAAGAAAAGTAGTACATTTATCCTTCAGCTTTGTTATCATACACTTGTTCCACATTTTTGCTCATGAGTACTGCAAGTTGTTGCTTGATTTCTTCCACCTGCAATCAAAAGCACAACTGTTGCTCCAGAATAAGAAAACAGTTGTTTGCATCAAGTGATGCATAAATGTATCTCAACAGCATTTGTTTAAAAAACAGATGACGTACTGCCCCTTCATTTAATGAAATAAAACATCCAAAAAAAAACACAAAAAGCTATCATGTTTCCATGGAAAAAGAAATCACTTTAGATGCAAGTAACAATAATCCATTTCTATTTGTATGTGCATATCAAATAAATACTCCGGAAAAAAAAAAAACTTTAAAATGTATTTCATAAGGATTACAAGAGCAAAGCACAGTCATGCAATTCATTTACCATATATTAAATTCTAACTAAACTGATCCAGTTGTGAAAAATACAGACATCTTGCCCCGTCAAGTGTTTCAGATATGCAGAACCCAAATAAAGAATTTTGGGACTAAGTTGAGAAATCCATAAAAGTAGTACTGATTGCCTAACAGGAGTGTACAATCATTTCACATCATGACAGTGGCCCCTTACAAAAGGGAAGAATTAGATGCAGACTGATTAGAGAGACAAGGTTTAGTGATTATCAGGTATGCATAACAATACGATTGGAGTTTAATCAATCGGTTAAGTATGGAATTTAGCAGAGAACTGGTATTCTGGTATACATCACTTAACATTAAGATCTCAACGTAATACTTTGAGTTAATAGTTACTTGTAGTCTGGTTCAGTTACTATTACACATGCCACAGATGAAGAATTTGTTCCAAATTTCCAGCAGTCATGTCATTTTGGAGCCAACTCAACTGAAAAAAAGATTAACCTTCCCAAAACAAAGTAATTAAACAATTAGTTGGTTGGAACCCTTGTTAGAAGGCATCCTAGGACCACAAGTCTTTCAATGCAACACTGCAGCACAAATGACAGCTTGATCTTACAGTCTTCACACTTGCAGCATGGAATCTTACTATACCACTCTGAATTGAAAGTTCAAGGTGTCTGCACTCAATTTGTTATGATTACTTCAAAGTACCCTTGAAGCAAACATTTTATCATGATGACAATGTATGCATGTATCGATCTTTAAATCCCATTGTTTGAATTAATACCTTAACACATGGGCCATTCATGGACTGAAACAGTTTTGAAAATGGACTAAGAACACAGACTTGAAATGGTCACAGGCATCACTTGACCTACAGAGGTTGGCCAAGTTTCATGAAGCTGATATGTGGATTAAAGAAAAGCAAGTCTGATCTCCAATCAACACTTCACTCATGGGTAATGAAACAAGTAAGCCCCAATGGGAGACCTGAAAGTGCCCTTGTGTCCCATTTGATTTTTGCCATCATTAGGACTTTCACGTTGGAAATGGAACCTCACTGTTGTAGTAGATTATTTTAAGAAATAATCTCAGGACCCTTCAGGTATAGGTCAACAATTGTTTATTGAGACAAAGTTAGGAGAGTCTACCCCAGAAAAGGTTTGGATGTCACATCTAAACTCAATGAGGATTCAGATGTTTATACATTGCAAGTCTTGTAGATAGTATATTACTCAAAGAACAATACAGCACAGGAACAGGCACTTCGCCCCTCCAAGCCCGTGCCAACACATTTTCCCCTTCCATACTAAAACTTTCTTCACTTAGAGGATCCGTAGCTCCCTATTCCCTTCCTATTCATGTATTCGTCTCGGTGCTTCCTGAATGCTGCTATTGAGTCTGCTTCCATCACCACCTCTGGCCAGCATGTTTCAGGCACACACCACCTTGGTGTGAAAAAAACTGCTTCCCCTGTACCCTGAACCTGTGTCCCCTAGTAACTGACCCTTCCACCCTGGGGAAAAGCCTCATTTTCCACTCTATCCTTGGCATTCTTCTTAATTAAAATCGCTCATACCAGGCAAAATCCTGGTAAACCTTTTTTCCAGACCCTCTCCAAAGCATCCACATCCTTCTGCTAGTATGGTGACTAGAACAGTATGCATTATTCCAAGTGTGGCGGTACTATAAAGCTACAACATAACTTGCCTATCCTTATACTCAATGCCGATTCCAATGAAGGCAAGCATGCCATTGGCCTTTTTTTCACTACCTTATCTATCTGTGCTGTTATCTTCAGTGACCTGTGGATCTGCACACTAAGATCCCTCTGCATATCAATACTCCTAAGGGTTCTGCCATTCGCTGTATAGTTTTCACACATACTTGATGTTCCAAAATGCATCACCTCACATTTGTCCGGATTAAACTCTATTGGCCATTTTTCTGCCCATGCCTCCAAGTGATCTATATCCTGCTGTATCCTCTGACAATGGTCCTCATTATCTCTGCCAATCTTTGAATCATATGCAAACTTACTAATTAGACCAGCCATGTTTTCCTCCAAATTATTTATGTAGACCACGAACAGCAGAGGTCCCAGCACTGATCCCTGTGGAACACCACTAGTCATAGTCCTCTATTCCAAAAAGCATCCTTCCAACACTACCCTGTCTCCTATGACTAAGCCAGTTCTGTATCCATCTTGCCAGCTCACCCCGATACCATGTGATTTCACCTTTTGTTTCAGTCTGCCATAAGGGACCTTGTCAAAGGCTTTACTGAAGTCCATGTAGACAACATCAACCACTTTTCCCTCAATCATCTTTGTCACCTCTTCAAAAAACTCAATCACGTTAGTGAGGCATGACCTCCCCCTACAAAATCATGCTGTCTATCACTAATAAGTCCATTTGCTTCTAAATGTGTATAGATCTTGTCCCTGAGAATTTTTCCAATAAATTTCCTACCACCGATGTGAGGCTCAAAGGCCTGTAATTTCTTGGAGCATCCCTGCTACCCTTCTTAAACAATGGGACAACATGGGCTATATTCTCCAGTCCTCAGGGACCTCATCTAGGGCCAAAGAGGATACAAAGATGTCTGTCAATGCTCCAGCAATTTGTTCTCTTACCTCCCTCAATATTCTGGGATAGATCCCATTAGGATCTGGGGACTTACCTATCTTAGTACTTTTTAAGATGCACAACACCTCTTCCTTTTCAATAGCAACTTGACTTCAAAATTCAACACTCCGTTCCCGGAGATCAGCCTCGACCAATTACTTTTCTTTGATGAATACTGACAAAGCATTTGTTTAGGTCCTACTTCTTCTGGCACCATACATAAGATTCCCTCCTTTTCCTGCCCACCCTCTTGCTTTTAATGTATGCATATAAAGCCTGGGAGTCTCCTTAATCCTGTTTGCCAGCAACTTTTCATGACCTCTTTCAGCCCTTTTAATCCCTGGTTTAAGTTCATCCTACTTTCCTTATACACTTCAAGGGTTTCATCAGTTCCCATCCTCCTTGACGTTATGTATGCTTCCTTTTCCTTTTTTGGCCAAGGTCATAACATCCCCGGTCATCCAAGGTTCACGTAACTTGCCATACCCATCCTTCATTCTTGCAGGAACATGCCACTCCTGAACTCTTAACTACCATCTGAAATACTCTCTCATATCCAGTGTGGATTCACCCTCAAACAGCCACCTCAAAATCAACATTCTCCAGTTCCTGCTTAATATTGTTGTAATTCACCTTCCCCAATTTAACACTTTCACCCAAGGACTGCTGTTATCCCTATCCATGAGTAACTTAAAACACATGGTATTATGGTCACTATTTCCAAAATGCATCCCCACTGAAACTTCACCCATCTGGCCGGGCTCCTTTCCCAAAACTAGGTCCAGTATAACTTCTTCGCTGGTTGGACTGTTTACATACGGTGTCAAGAAACCCTCCTGAATGGTCATTACAAATTCTGCCCCATCCAAGCCCCTAGCATGAAGTCAGTCCCAGTCAATATAGGGGAAGTTAAAATCACCCACCACAACAACCCTGCTGCTTCTACATCTTTCCAAAAGTCTATCCTCATATTCTTTCCACCATCTCCCACTGGCTATTGGGAGGCCTGTGGTATACTCCCAGCATTGTGATTTCACCTTTCCTGTTCCTGAGTTCTACCCATATTGCCCCGCTGCACGAGTCCTCTGATGTATCCTCCCACAGCACTAAAGTGAGATAATCCTTTACCAGTAATGCAACTCCCTATCCCTTTTACGTCCCCTCCTATCACACCCGAAACATCTAAATCTTGGAACAGGACTAGCAGTTGAATGTCCACCTTTCAACCAAGTCTCCGTAATCGCAATAATGTCATAGTTCCAAGTACTAACCAAAGCTCTAAGTTCATCTACCTTGCCTTTTATACTTCTCGCACTGAAACACATGCATCACAGATCACCTCCCCTGCTCTTTTCAGCAGCGTTTCCCTGCTTGTTCTTAGACATGTTTGCCTTGGTTTCTACCTCTCTCTTAATTTCTGCATCTACTACCCTACTCGTCTGGTTCCCACCCCCCTGCCACACTAGTTTAACTCTCCCCAACCACTCTACTAAGTATACTCCAAGGACATCAGTCCCAGTCCTGCCCAGTTTGTACAGGTAACACCTTCCCCAGAACCAGTCCCAATGCCCCACAAATCCAAAACCCTCTCCCTCACGTCATCTTTTCAGCCATGTATTAATCCTATAAATCCTGCTGTTTCAACTCCAACTAGCTTGTGGCATTGGTATTAATCTGAGACAACCACCTTTGAGGTCCTACATTTCAACTTTCTTCCTAGTTCTCTACAGTCTGCTTTTAGGACCTCATCCCTTCTTTTTTACCCAATGTCGCTTGTACCAACGTGTACCACGACCACTGGCTGTTCACCCTCTCCCTTCAGAATGTCCTGCACCCACTCGGAGACATCCAGGACCCTAAGACTAAAGGAGGCAACACACCATCCTGGACTCTTGTTTACGGCCACAGAAATGCCTATCTATTCCCCTTACAAATCACCCTTAACTATAGCATTTCTATGCCTATTTCCCCCTCCCTCTGCAGCAGAGCCAACCATGGTGCTGTTATCTCCTGAGAGGCCATTCCTCTCAGCAGTATCCAAAACGGTATATCCATTTTGCTGGGGAATAGCCCAGGGGA